GGGGAACCCAGGGTCACCGAGTGGCGCACTCTGCAAGCAGGATCAAGGGAAGCTGCCCCCTGAAGGGGCACACCCGACGGCGACGTTCAGGGGCGTCATGGTCTTTCGGTCGTGGATGGTGGTCCCCTCCCCCGCCCTCGCCCTCCAGCATGCCATGGCAGCATGATCTGTCGCCCGCTCAGGCGTCATGTGCCGGCGGCATGGACGCCCTCCAAGGGTGGGCTGCCTTCTCGAGGCCGTTGACCTGCTGCGAGGCCCGCATCTCTCCGGCCGACCACAGCCACAGCCGGGTCCTTCGGCCATGGGGATCTGCGATGGGCCGGGCCGGCACACTCAGATCGGGCACTGGAGCCGCTGCATGCGGTCACCGGGCTGTGCGCTTGCTCGTGAAATCATCCAAGGGTACTGCCACCCATCAACCCGGCCATGCATGGCCTCACTCGGGGCAGTGAGTCCACTGTCACCTGGCGGACGCCATCGATATCGAGCGCACGCCCGGGGCGAGGGGTTTGCCTGCCTGCGCCATCTTGGGACAAGGCCGCGCACTGGCTTTGGGAGGGCCCTTGTGAGCGTGTGCCTTTCAAACCCACGGGAGCATGTGCTCCCCGGATGCGAGTTCCCTGTGACGTGGCGGCTCGATGCTGCCGGACTCGGTCGCAGACGCGGGATCCGCCCCAGCACACGCCCCATTCCGGCGTGGCGGTCGACGCCCCGCCGCACGGAGCCGGGATTCACACGGGGGCGGGCCCTTCTTGATGGCCAGGGCACCGGGTTCGACCCTCGAGCAGGCCACGCCCCTGGGATGTGGCGATGGCCGGACAGCCTCCTCGGCATTCACACCCCGTCGACGTGGCTGCTGCCCTGCGGGTGCTTTGATGGGTGCCCGGCGCTGACGAAGTGGTTTTCGGCTCTCCGGGCAGGCATGCTCGGTTTGCCATGTGCCCCGTGCCGGCGGTGTTGGCCTCTCTTCGGCCATGCCCCGCTGACCACCGGCCTCTTTCCGGCAATACGCTCGGCACGGGTGGAGTGCCTCTCGCGCGCGAGGCCCCCGGCCGTGGGCTCAGTCCTCCAGCTCGAGACACCGCTGCCATGCTCGGGCCTCGGCCCTTCCGCCCGGCCAGCGGACGAGGACCCAACTCAGCCGGTTGCTTGGCACCGATCTCCGCGAGTCTCCAGGGGAGCGCCCGGGACCGGATGGCCTCGATGCCAAGGCGATGAGGCACCTGTCGGATGCCTTGGTGTGCTGCATGTGCCTCGAGGTGCGGCTCGCAGGGCTGGGCGAAAACGCACCGGTCGGCTGCCTGCCATGCAGGGTGTCGGCCCTCGAGGAAGACCAAAGGGCCCAAGGTAGCCCATTCTCTGGGGGTGGACTGTGTGGCTCCGGGGCCTTTCCCCTCTCGGGCCCTGATCATGGGCACCGAGTGGCAGATGTGGTACCCGGGTTGCGCCTGGCCACATGAGGCCTGGGTTGTTGGGCACCGGCCAAGCACCGCTGGCGGAGATCTTCCCGAACCCTTGAGCCGGCTCGAAGAGTGCGCCGCGGGGGGCCCCTGGGCCGAAATGTGGGGCCGGCTCCGGCGCACAGCAGCGCGTCTCCCCCTGCTCCGGCTCCGGCATGGTTCCAAAGGGGCCCCGGGGCCCGGGCGGGTGTTCATGCTCCTGCACCGCCCGCTGCCGCCGGAAGTGGGATGACAATCCGCCGGGGCAAGGGAGGTGGCCCCTTGAGGCGGCAAGTGCCGGTGGGGCTGGCGGTTCGGCGCCGCCCCGGCGCCCGGGCGGCCGACGCCGCGTCGAGCCTCGACCCGAAGGCGTCCCGGCGGTGTGGGTGTCGCTCGAGGGCGGCGCTTTCCCAGGGCCATTCATTCCCTTCCTTGGGGGATGGCCGCGGCGTCCTCCCCGGGAGGGGGCATCCAAGGTCAGGCCACCTCCCCGGAGGCAAGATCGCCCTCGAGGCACCTGGGTCGAGCGTCGGTTTGGTGGATCCCGGCCGGCTGTCCCACACCCACGCCCCGGCCTCAAGCCTGCCCGCTGGATAGCACGGTCGGCCAAAAAGCAAGCATCAAAACCCCGGAGAAAAAAGATAAGCCCAAGCGGCAGGCTGTTGCCCAAGCGTCGATGGTTTAGTGGTAGAATTGCCGCCTGCCACGCGGTAGACCCGGGTTCGATTCCCGGTCGACGCAGGCCCGCTCGTTTAGCTCAGTGGTAGAGCGCCAGTCTAGTAAACTGGAGGTCGGGTGTTCGATCCACCCAATGAGCACATTATTTTTGGCCGGGCGATCTTCCTGCCGGTCGGGACTTTTTGTTGAGGGGCATAATCCGGCACCTCCTATGGAGGGGATGCACGCTGGACTGACGCCCGCCGGTGGGGGGATGGAAAAAAAAAAACAAGCGGCGCCTGCTGCGCGCCCCCGCCCTCCAGGTAGGCCGAGGGGGACAAAAGAGATGTTTGCCTCGAACCAGGATTGAACTGGTGACCTTGTGATCTTCAGTCACACGCTCTCCCAACTGAGCTATCGAGGCTTGAGGGGCTGGGTCTCAGCCTTCCATTTATACTGTCTTGCTTGTGGGTGCTTGCCCCGTTCCGCCGCGAGCAACATGGCGCTTGCGGACGAAGTCCCCCCCCGGCATGTGCCAGCTTCAAAGATGCACAGGCAGCGGCCCCCCGATCGACCCTCAGCCCTGCCCAAAAGCCGCCCCACCATGGGCACGACTTCGACAGGATGTGACCCCGCCCCTCGCTCCCCAGCCCGGCCCCCTCCATGGGTGCTATGTTGTCGAGGCCCTGCCGAGCCTGGGAACTGGCCAGCGCCGAGGCGATGGGAAGCCTGACAAGCGTGCCCTCCCCCTCGGATGCCCGGCTTCAAAAGGGGGGACCCCGGATCGCTTCACCCCTCCCCCCCCCCCGGGAGACATGAGAGAGGGACTTCGCCACTCGCGCCGGCGAGGGCGCCGCCCCCTTGCATGAAAGTAGCAAAAAAGGCCTCGGGCGCCCCGCATTCAAAAAAACAGATGTGACCACGATGCGGCTCGAACACACAACCTCCTGATCCGTAGTCAGGTGCTCTATCCAATTGAGCTACGCGGCCATCTTCGATCAGGCACGGGCGATGTGGCGCTCTTATCGTGCACGCTTTGCCTCCTCACGCGCCCAAAAAGAATGCTCCCGATCCGGGAATTGAACCCGGGCCTCCCGCGTGACAGGCGGGGATTCTCACCACTATACTAATCGGGAATCCGATGACTACCCGTTGGGGTGGCGTGCTTTTTGTAACCTTCGCCGCCCAAATCCCAGAATTGGTCACGGGTTGTCACGTGACCATATCTGAGAAGTCGGATCCCCGGCTCTCCTCTCCTCTCGGGGAGAGCCGCGCCTCCGTGTACAGACCTTCGCCCCGCCCTGCCGCCTCCTCCCTCGGCGCCCAGGGAAGAGGGGCAAGGTGCTCCTTCTCCCATGCGCCTAACCCCTATATAAGGGACGGCATCCGCGCCCTCTTTCCCATGTACGGCTACCCTAGAAAGGATAGTCATTGCCTCCTTGGCCTGGCTTTCTCCCCCCCAGCCAGTAGTCTCTGATGTAAATACTTTTGCTTCCCCCAACAAGACCGCGCGCGCTTTATTGTCATCGCTTGCCTTCTTGTACCTCTCGAGACGAAATGCTTTCTTCCGAGGCGTGATCTCCATATCGGAGAACAAGCCTCGGTGAATCAGTCCGAGCGTTTCACTTTTGTTTCTTCTTCATCTGATCAACCAGCTTGCCTCTCGCCAGCATCCATGGTCATGCATCGGCGCATGACCAACTGGAGAGGCAATCACCATGCGCCACCGCCACTTCGATCGATCTAGAGAGAGAGAGAGAGGAGACGCCGTGCGGCCACGATCGGCCTCCCAGATCGCGAAGATACCCAGCTCACCTGTCCCCGTTGGTGACCATCTGGCTCTTTCTGCACGCGCAAACGGCCCACACATGGGGCGCCGCCATGCTTCGCGGCGGCCTCCCCATCGCGACAGCCGCCAGGAAGATGCTCAGAGTGGTCCTTGGGGTTTCGATTCTGCCCTTCTCCCCCGCAAGCCTGGCACACCCCTGTGCTTCCAAGACACGAGCCCCGGGGCTCCCCCTGTTGAAAGAGCCTCGTCCTGCCTGTCGCCCTGTCTTGCTCCCTCTTGCGGGGGCCTCCCGCCACGGAACGCGCCCGAAGGGGCCCCTCCAGCTCCGGTCTTCGGACCCAGGCGGTTGGCGGGGCGCCCAGGCGTGCGCATAAATACCTGGCGGGCCCATCTCCCCTCACAAGGAGGCCCCATAGCTCAGTTGGTTAGAGCGTCGTGCTAATAACGCGAAGGTCGTCAGTTCGATCCTGGCTGGGGCCAGCTTGCCTTTTTGGCATCCCATTCCGGCCGGAGCAGAGAACGTCAGAGCCGAGTCCCCCCCCCTGCTCGTGGGGCCGTGCTTTTTTTGCGCACGTCTCAGAGGGGGGACAAAGAGAGGGACAAAAAAAAAGACAGGGGCACTCCTCGGGCGGGGGCGACCATCAATCGCGCGAAGGCGGGTGGGGGTCACCATTTTCACCGCCAGCCACGAGGCCACAAGATGGACCCTCTGCACATCCCGCCCGACAAAGGGCCTTTATTGAACGGGCGGCGGACAAAAAGGAACCCCTGTGGCACTACTTTCGACACAGGCAGTCACCCTGAGGAAGAGACGGGGAAGCTGAGGGCATTGTTCGGCAAAGGGCGCCCAGCGCTGCCGCCACGGTGCGGCCGGCACACCGGCGGCCACCCGGGCCTACCCCCGGGCCGAGGCAGCAACCTGACGGCCGGCCTCGGGGCCGCCGAGATCCCGCGACAGCAAGATCGCCACCTGCGGCTGCAGCAGCCCACAGGTGAGGACCTCCCCACTTGGGCCTCGGAGGAGGCCGATTCGCAGCCACACGTGCCAGCCATCGATCCTGGTCGTGCGATGCTGCCGAAGTCGCGTGAGGGTGTCCGGTGTCAGAGACAATGCCGGGCCTGTGGCCGGCCTGTGGATGGCAAGGTTGGCCGGCACATGCCTGTGCTGGCAGAGAAGCCCACGGGCAGGCGGCCACGAACGCACCTCCAGCAGGGCCACCAGCCCGTCGGGAAAGCACCGCAAAAGAAGATCCCCCATGCACTCGGCCAGATCCGGCTCCGGGCCTGCGCCCTCGGCTGGGCGCATCGAAAAGGACACCCACACCCGGGCCACCGACGCCGGCGATCCCCGGATTCGGATGTGCACATTTTCCCCGAACCAGGGACCCGCAGCCACCCCATGCCGGAAGGCCTCGGGAAAGAGGAGGCCCTCCTCCGGGGTGTCCCAGGCCCCGGGCCCCGGGCTGTTCGTCGGACTGCGGGCAGGTGCATGGGTGTCGGCGCCGGCGCCAAGGCCAGCGAAGGGAACGGAAGAACCAGGCTCGCCGGTGCGTCTTAGCACAAAGCACCGGCCATTCGCCTCGAGAACAAGAGGAGGGTCCACGGCCACCGCCGCCGCCAACAGGGCCGCCGTTCGCGGCAGAGCAAAAACAACATGCGACAGGGGGGATGCCCCCCGGGGAGGAGGGCCAAAGTGCAAAGGGACCACCAGTGACAGCCCCTGCTGGCGGCCCAGCAGCCAGGCTCCGGTGGGAGTACACCCGGGCCGGGGGCCCTCGTCCAAATACATGCGCGCCGGCTGGCCGGCCAGCAGGCGCCCATGTGCCAGTGGGAAGTGCCCATCGCTGGCGATGCCCACACACTGGAAGAGCATGCAGCAGCCGGCCACCATGCCACAAGCCCGGGGGGAAGAGGACTGCGGGGGGGGGGGGGGGGGGTCAGCTCCGAGGGGAGGGCCAGGCTGGGAAGCGGAGGGCCAACACCCGAGCATGGCGCCCACTCTACGCGTGGGAGACCAGGGGGAAAGCACATACCGAGTGTGAGGCCGCCGGCATGATGGATATCGTGAAGTCCTGGGGCAGCGCCCGTCGCAGACGCTCAGATGCTGGCAGCATGCCCGGCGTGGCATTGCCACAAGAGACACACTCGGCCGTGGCCACGGGCCTGGGCACCACCCGGAAGAAGGCCGTCGCGACTACCGGCGGGGGAAGGCCCGCCGCGGTCAGCCTCATATCGGGCTCTCCTTCGCTGAAGGCCAAGTCCGGATCGTCGGGCAAAAGATCGCATGTCCTGGAAGTCAAGCGGCAGAAGGAGCAACAAGTGGGGCGAACCATCAGTCGCCGAGGCTGTTGGGCTTCTCCTTTTTGACAGGGAGACAGGGCTAAAACGGAGGAGAGGGAGGGAGAGGGAGG